AGTTGTATAAAAAGTTATGGACTCGATACAGTGTATTATTATACTCTCCCCGGATATACATGGGACGTCATGTTAAAACATACAAATATAAAATTTGAATTATTAACAGACATTGACATGGTAATGTTTGTCGAACGAGGTATACACGGCGGCCTTAGTCAATGTTCAGGCCGATACGCACAGGCAAATAACAAGTACATGCAATCGTACAACCCATCGAAATCCTCATCTTACCTCATGTATTTTGATATAAATAATTTGTACAAATGGGCAATGTGTCAACCATTGCCGTATGCCGATTTTCGGTGGGTCGACGATGTATCGAATTTTGACATATCATCTATCGCGTTCGATTCACCTATAGGCTATGTTCTCGAAGTAGATTTAGAGTATCCGCAGCATCTTCATGACGCACACATTGACCTACCGTTTTGCTCAACGCGCGATAAGCCGCCCGGCAAGCAGAAGTATAAACTCCTCGCAACGCTTTATGATAAGAAGCGCTATGTAATACACTATCGTAATCTACAGCAGTGCACGCGCCACGGACTTCGCATAACAAAAATATACCGTATACTACAATTCACGCAGTCAGCGTGGCTTCAAAAATACATCGAACTCAACACACAGTTTAGAACACAAGCGAAAAACGATTTTGAAAAAAAATTTATATAAATTGATGAATAATGCGGTATTCGGCAAGACGATGGAAAATGTGCGCAATCATATGGATGTAAAATTATTAACAAAATGGGACGGACGGTACGGTGCGGAGGCAATGATCGCAAAACCAAATTTTCATAGTACAAGCATATTTTCGGAAAAATTAGTTGCCATAGAATTACGCAAACTCGAAGTTAAATTCTACAAACCAATCTACGTCGGCATGTGCATACTCGATGTATCAAAAGTATGTCTTTATGAATTTCACCACGAATACATGTCACCGCTCTATCGTGACAATTGTAGAGTAATGTACACCGACACGAATAGTTTAATATATCAAATTAAATGCCAGGATGTCTATGAAAATTTGAAACGCGACATCGCTCGATTCGATACCAGCGATTACGCTGAGAATAATGCGTACGGTATACCGCTCGCGAATAAAAAGGTGCCGGGTTTGATGAAAAATGAGAATAATGGCGCGATAATGACCGAATTTGTCGGGCTTAGAGCAAAAATGTATGCTTTGCGGGTGGACGGTAAAAGGACACTAAAAAGGCAAAAGTGTCAAAAGTAATGTTGTAGCGCGTAGTATAACATTCGACGATTATACGCGTTGCCTTAATGACGAAATTGAAATGACGCGTCAGCAGTCGTGTATAAGATCAAAATTGCATAAAGTGTATACCATCAGCGAGACAAAAATTGCTCTAAGTCCCTACGACGACAAACGGTATGTCGTACCTGAGTCGACCCACACCTTGCCGTGGGGACATTATCGAATACAATTGTAAATTATATTTATTATATTTATTATATTTATTATATTTATTATATTTATATTATATTGTAAGGATGTATTAATGAGAATTATATATATATTTTGTTATATATTTCATATTTGATATACAATATATAGTATGTTATACAATGATTGAATAAAATACATTAAATAACATTGTTTTTATGTATCCAAGAGTTGTGCGAACTGTCGAATCCCAGCTATTTCACGTAAACCTCGTCACTCCTCCTGCGCAGTATTTTCTCCACGAGGTACACATCCGGATAATTTGCGCGATGCAGCTCGTGTTCGTAAAACGCTCCAGCGATAGATGTCTTGCGATAATCCTCGAGTAGATATGTTACGGGATTAGTATGCTGCACTTTAACAATCTTAAACACCTCGGTTGTCCAATTTGGCGTGTATCCCTTCTTGAAAAGTTGTTTGTACTTGCTGACGCGTACCTGATCACCTACTTTGAACTTTGCCGGGCCCGCGATTTTTACACGATTGTACACGGTAGCCAAGAGTCTTTCGGCGATCGCGGGGGTAACGTCGGCGGGTCGCATACCAATCGTTCGATGCTTGCGTCCGTTGTAATCTGATACGAGGCGTGGTAGCATGTCGAACCACTTGTAAGTGCCATTCAGCGTAAACATCTTCCACATGTCGTTCTTTAGCGTGCGATTGAATCGCTCGACGACCGACGCTTTCAATACCGAATATGTAGAATAGTGATTAATGTCATGTTTTCGCATAAGTCGTTGCACATCGGCGTTGTAAAATTCCTTCCCGTTATCAGTTTGGATATTTTTCGGACATCTCTTGCTATCTCGAATTATCTCGGCGATTGCGCCAGCTGTCTCGCTTCCTCCTTTACTCTTGAGTGGTACAGCCCACGCATACTTGCTCAACACATCGATGACGGTGAGTATGTAGTGGTAACCTCTGTTGAAACGGGAGTACGGACGCATCTCGACAATGTCGGCTTGCCACAGATCATCGTATCCTCGCACTATGACATGTCTTCGAGGGAAATTTTTTCTCGTTGACGCATGCAACTCGTTTACCAACTGCCGTCTCTCCAAACTATGTTGCTTGTTATTTTCACTATTCATTCTCGTTCTTTCGGGTTCTTTTACGATCGTGCCTCGTTATTTCGGGTTCTTTTGCGTTCGTGTCTCGTTCTTTCGGGTTCGTGCCTCGTTATTTCGGGTTCTTTTGCGTTCGTGCCTTGTTCGTGCCTCGTTCTTTCGGGTTCTTTCGGGTTCGTGCCTCATTATTTCGGGTTCTTTTGGGTTCGTGCTTCGTTATTTCGGGATTCTTTCGGGTTCATGCCTCGTTCGTGCTTCGTTATTTCGGGATTCTTTCGGGTTCGTGCCTCGTTATTTCGAGTTTGTTCTTTCGGGTTCTTTCGTTCACTCACGTCCTTGACAGTTTCGAAAATCGTTCCTGACTCGATCGCAGCCTTTTTCGTAGTCGTTTCTGACCCGTTCAAAGTCCGCCCTGGCCCGTTCGCAACCCTTACTGAGTTGTTGATAGCCTCGTATATAACCTTTAAGGACTTGTTCGTAGCCTCGTTCGCAGCCCTGCTTGACATGTTCGTAACCTCGATCGCAGCAGCCGATACGCCGTTCACTGTTAGACTTGTTACTGCAGTTGTCAGCGGTCACATAACTACCGTCGCTGCTCATTGTAAATTAGTAGTACGCTGATAATCCTTCGTAGCTGTTCAACAACTGTTTGCAATCACTCGAGAATCCCTTCTAGACGTTTCACAACTGTTTGATAGACGTTTCTGAGCCAACCGCTCATTAGATGTCTGTGTCTGAGGTAGTGTTTGGCGCACGCAAAAGTTCTTTTATCGCAGTCTCCAACGCTCGTACCAGAGAGAAAGATGAGAGCGGCCAGGCCGGCGTTTTGGCTGTTACCGTTTTTACGGGACTGCTTGAAGCGCCCCTCGCACCCGTTTTCAATATCGGAACTAACTGCACACCCATTTTCTGGCAGGGTCGATAAAGTTTGTATTTGGTGCGAGTCCGTGCTACGCCCATAATTTTCGTGTTAACACAGTATCACGTATTCATTCTGTATATGTGCGATCTTTTCTCTTTATATATATATATATATATATATATATATGTATTTATATAATTTGTATAAAAACTAAAATATAATTATTAAAATATATATATATATATATATGTGTGTAATGAAATATATAAATCTTATTTTAATTAAAATAAAAAGAACGATTAATTGTTCGACCACTTGGATTTTGGAATGTAATTTTTAATATATATTATATTATATTTAATATTTATCGCCGCTTCTATTAATATGAAGTGCAATGTCAACGTGCAATAATGTACAATTATTTAAAGTTTCCATGCCTAATGTATCATGCCGGTATAAAAGAACGTCAAGTAGCATGCGTAGCCGAGCGACTAAGATGACGAGCTGAAATCGTGGACATTTCAAGTTCAAACCCCTGCCTTTTTCAGATTTTTTTTTTCACTTTTTTCAAATAAGTTATTATGTGTAAGAATAATCAATATATCATTATTTGATAATTTTTTTTGTAATGGAACAAAATAAATTATTTTTTAATTCTGCAAGGAATTTAATTATTATGCAAACGCCCACACACATAATTTAGATATTCAATTTTTTTTAGTTCAAATGTTTCTTGCAATCTGTATACGACAATCAGTCCACTCGCTGTGCCACAAATTGCATCGCATAATACGCTCAGAGTTATAATACGATAGAGATCGCTTTTTTTCGCTGTTTTTCCTTGAAATAAATAAATTTTACGTGTTGTGTACGCGTGTTTAGTATATTTGTTTCTTTCATATTAATTTTAACTATAATTAGTTTTTTAATTAAGATTATTTTAGTGTTAGTTGTTTATTTGTTAGTGTCCTGTTTTCTTTAATTTCGCATTTTTTAATTTTCTTTTTTTTTTGGTGTTGGTGCTAATTATTATTTTTATTTTACAATGTCGAGTAAACACCGGTTTTACGATAAATGTGTGTATTTAAATTGCACAAATATTAGGACAAAAGATGGAAAACGTTTATTTCGATTTCCATTACAAACGGGTGCGAGACATGATTTATGGTTACGCAATAGTGGTGAGTTTATAAAATTGATTTACTTATTTATATCAATATATAATATATATTGATATGATATATGAAACAAATATATATATATATATATATATATATTCTTTGTTTTTTTAATAAAATATGTCAGATATTATGTATGTTTACGTATGGATTACGTTGAAGTGTTTCTTTGCGGCGTTTTTCTGATCTCGCCGAACGATTCGCGAATCCTGTGCGAATAAAAAACGATGCGCGTGTGTGTGTGCGTGCGATTGTGATGATCAGTTTCAGTTCGTCTTCAACGCTTGACGAGAGAAGAGGTCCCGAACTACTGTAAGTTTATAAAAACATTTTTGTATAACACATTAGAACGATTTTATATTATTTTTTTTGTCTAGAAAACGTTATGAAAACGATCTTGACGACGGCGACGATGCCGGTGGCGACCACGACGACGACGACGAAGACAATGCCGGTGCCGACGGCGACTATGCCGGTGCCGACGACGACGACGACGACGGAGACAATGCCGGTGCCGACGGCGACCATGCCGGTGCCGACGGCGACCATGCCGGTGCCGACGGCGACCATGCCGGTGCCGACGGCGACCATGCCGGTGCCGACAACGGCAATGCCGACGATGATGCCGATGCCGATGTCGATGCCAATGGCGACGATGCCAATAACGATGCCGGCCATGCCAGTGTCGACGACGACGACGACGGAGACGATGCCGGTGCCGACGGCGACCATGCCGGTGCCGACGACGACGACGACGACGGAGACGATGCCGGTGCCGACGGCGACCATGCCGGTGCCGACAACGGCAATGCCGATGCCGATGCCGATGCCGAGAACGATGCCGGGAACGATACCAATGCCGACGGTGATGCCGATGGCGACGATGCCGACGATGCCATTGACGATGACGGCGACGATGCCGACTGTATCTATTTCATTAACTGTAAGTAATTTTATTTTAAATTGTATTAGCATAGTACTTTTTTATATAAATTGTTTCATTAATTGTATTATTTCTATGTCTATATATATTGTGACGTGACATTTTGTACTGTCCGTCACAAGGGCCGAAGGCCCGGCCGGGAAGGCGGGAAATTCGGGAACCTTTGCTCTCTCGCCAATCTTTGAGAGAGAGAGAGCACCCGAACAATCATTTTGCGTTTTCTACCGCGTCGAAGGATGCGCTTCGCGCATCCGTTTCGCGAATTACTTTTTGTATGATTTTTGTTTGAGCGATTTTTGGCGTTTTCGGCGAGCAATTTTGCATAGGGTACGTGTCTCAACCGAGGAAACCAATAGAGAGGAAGAGTGAGAGGACGGAGAGGACGAAGAGGACGATTGAGGACCGAGCAGGAGCCACCAAGTCCGGATCACGCCCGGTAAATATTATTTTCGCACCAAATTTCTGGCTTGCCCATCCCGTTAAGAACCTGGGTACCGCCGTAAAATGTTCCTTCTTCCGCAGAGATTCCGGCCCGAGACGGGGATGGCCACTCTCTCGCGAGAGGCGAGAGAGCCCCGGGAACGAAAGGCGCGGGAGACCTCCTGCCTCGAGCCCCGCAGATCCGGATACACCGAAATCCCACCATCGATCAAACAATCGATCTGGCGGATTTTTGGGAGGAATCGCAAAGAGGTGCCCTCGTAGGAGTCTTCCCGACGGCCCATAAAGAGGAATACCGGAACCCAAAGCGGAAACATAGAGGAACGGCGAGGGAAAATTTACATCAAGAAAATTCGCAGGGCCCGCGGGGTACCCGGCGGCCCTGCCAGGATAAGGAGCGCCACGGGTGGAAAATGCCAAATTTAGTATCGGCGTGATCCCGGCAGGCCTCTTGCTCGTCACTGTTCGGCGAGACATTCCGGAGAGCAGAGGTTCCTGCGCGGATGCCGAAGCACACCAGGACCCGGCGATACCGGTGAGACGAACGGCCCTATTTAATATTGTAAAGCCGCTAAATTCCTTGTGAGTACCGTATTCGGGAGAGAAGCGTGTCACGGCCGCGACCGGTTATTAGATTCACCGGTAATTTCGCGATTTTGAGAGTTTGATTTAGAGTTTCGTTCCGCGTGGAATTTATCCCGGCGCCCGGCCGACCGCGTGCTCTCTCCCGCGCGTATATTAAGAGAGGCTCTCTCTCCCGCGGATACGCCGACAGTCGTCGCGATTTTTGTCACGTTAATGTAAAATTTAAGGTATCGTCTTGTAATTACTGTACCGTTCTCGTCTGTTGGAGTTCTAGATCGGAGAATAGAAAATTAGTTAGAGTCACGCATCCGACCTAGCGTATTCTTTCTCGCGCATATCCTTATCCGTGCCGTCTTCGGATCCTTTGTGAAATATTGCGAGAAACGACCGGCGTGAGCGATCTCAAAGGAAGTCGCGCGGGACCTACTCGAGTTTACGGAAATTTTGTATTGCCTGAGACCATCGGAATTAATTACGCCGCACGGACCTTATTAAGTCTCGTGCGTTAATAATTATTCGACACGTAGGCGTGCGAATTTACTCCTAACGAAACTAAATAATTTTTCGTTAGAATTAAATACCGGTGCACAAGGCACCAAATTTTTACTTGGACACGGCCAAGATTTTAAATATGAAATAATCTCATATTTTGAGATTTAATTTCAATACCCCTTTAACCCCCCTACGGAAAATAAATAAATGAATGCAAGAGAAAAATATAGATCCGAAAATCGCTGAATCGGGAATCGAACCCGAGTCGCCCGGCAAGCGAAAGGTCTCGGGTTCGATTCCCGATTCAGCGATTTTCGGATCTATATTTTTCTCTTGCATTCATTTATTTATTTTCCGTAGGGGGGTTAAAGGGGTATTGAAATTAAATCTCAAAATATGAGATTATTTCATATTTAAAATCTTGGCCGTGTCCAAGTAAAAATTTGGTGCCTTGTGCACCGGTATTTAATTCTAACGAAAAATTATTTAGTTTCGTTAGGATAACGCATTGTCATCCGCGATTTGGCTCTTGTTGCCCGTCTTATACGTTTAATTTTATATTTTTGTTAAAAATTATGTTCGCGAATATTTATGTTTTCCGAGTTATATCTGTTTGAACTTTCCTTTCTTTACAGTTAACGCTTTTGAGAGAAATTATATTTGAAGAATAATTTTTTTTTGTATTTCTTTTTTTGGGGACATAGATTTTTCAGTGTCAGTCATTTTTTTTTCTGTCGCTTGAATTTTAAGCTCGGAAACATGTATATTTAAAAATATTAATTTATATTTTGAGAAGTCTATAAAATTTTTGTTTATCATTATTATTAATTCTTTTTGCGTATTTTTTTTTAAATTTCTATGAATAAACTTTGTCTTTATTTCGAACCTCCGTTAGGCGAAATTATTATTCGCCAAAATTTACATTTGACGAATTGAAACATTTGTCGGAAATCCCAGCATTTTTCTGGAGATTTCCCTTGCGAGACCTCTAGTACTTCTGCGTTGAGTACTGTGAGACGCTTATATCGGGCGTAAAATAATTATTGAAATTGCGTGCGAATTATATGCTACTGCTTTGCTTGCGCTTAAACTGCAATGACCATTTATTGCGTATATGATTTCTAGCATTTTGTTGGTATAAAAATCTGCGATCTTGCGCTTGCCTGAGAAGCCTTAAGCGACGTGCCGCTAATATATCCTATGCGATTAATACGCTATTATTGAAAATTCTTTTTTTTGGAGCGTGACTTAAATGTTTGTTTTCTTTTGTATATTTCTGTGGGCACGAAATCCTTCAGACTGTTCGAATTAACAAAGGAACAAGGATTAACTGTAGCATATATTTCGCTGACTATTGATATTGCTTGTTTTGATTTTGTGTGTTGCTAATCCATTTCTTTCAGGTATTTTGATTTATATGTTTGTATTATATTTGCTTTCCCTTGTATGATGTGCTTTGAGGAAACGTACCGTGGAATTTCGCGTGTGTTGTGAGCGAACGTCGCGAGTTAAGGATAAATATTCTACCGCACGAACATTGAAAATATTTTTTCTTTTCTCTCGCGTTGACTTTGTTCAGGGCTACTTTCGGTTTACACTTCGATTATACCATTCTTTTTTTTTTTTTTTTGTCTTTCTGAGTTTTACTAAATACCGGGACTCTTTAGCGAAGTTTTACTTAAGTATCGGTTACGGGAGTACACGACCTGCGGGGTAGGATCTCTCTTGAGGGGAGCTCGTCAAGGGGAACGTGCCTGTAGACCCTTAGTACCCGCGTTTAAAATTTTTTTTTGCGATCATGAGTTCGGAAGAAGACTGCGGAGGCGGGTGGATTTTTAACCTCACCGTCGAGCAATTACGCGACGAATTAGAGAAGCGCGGACAGAATAGTGAGGGCAACCTTGCGACTTTGAGGGCCCGGCTGAACAGATACGAGGTCTGCACCCAGTTAGGATGGGATCCGCCTAAGACGCCGACCCAGGGAGACCCTGACGCGGCCGCCGGCCCCTCGGTTCCCTCGCCTATGCGCCCCGATAGCCACCACGAGTCGGGACTCGGGGATGCGATTTTCGGGAATCAAACGCGTGCGCCGATTTATTTGCGACCGCCGGTTCTCGAATTACCCTCCGTACCCCGAGGTTCACGCCCCGTAGCACGCTGTACTTCGTCCGCCGGCGACGCATATCAGATGATGCGCCGCTGGAACTTAAAATTTTCGGGCGCCCGTGGCAGCGACGCGGAGGCGTTCTTAGCCCGTATAGAGGAAGGTCGTGCCTTAGTTCCGGTTGAGGACGAAGAACTTTTCAAGTGCATTCCGTTTTTCCTGTCCGGTATCGCGCTTTATTGGTATCGTAACGAACGAAACCGTTGGAGAACTTGGCGAGAATTCGAGACCGCGTGGCGTGCTCGATTCGGGAACCCCGATTTCCAATTCGCGTTGCGAGACGAAATCATGCGACGTACGCAGGGCGAGGGAGAGACGGTCGCCGATTACTTGACGTGTTTGCGCGCGCTTTTCGAAAGGTTAAGTCCGCCGTGGCACTTAGAGGAGCAATTGAATCACGCGCATCGTAACATGTTGCCGCGTTTACAGGTTGCGGTCCATCGTCGAGACGTGTACGACTTTACGTCCTTAGAGAATTTAGCGACGCGCATCGAGAATAGTTACGCAGCGGTGCTGCGCTATCGCGCTCCCCCGCCACCGGAACAATCCATTTTTCCGGAGTTAGCGTATCGGTCGCCGAAGAAAGGCGCGAGAGCCGTCGCCGCCGTAGGTTTGATACCTGGGGTGGCGAAGAGTAAAACTGAGATCGGCGGGCGTCCGCGCAGGGCCCCCAAGAACGCGCCCACCGCGAACCCCGCATCTAAACCAAAGGTTAAGCCCGCTATCGAGTTAGCGACCCCGTCGACGTCCGCCCCTGCGCGTCAGGGCCCCAAGTGTTGGAATTGCGAGCAGACGGGGCATATCGCGCGGGAATGTCAAGAGACGCGTCGCGTATATTGTTATCGATGCGGGCAGACGAACGTGACAGTAAAAACATGTCCTACGTGTTCGGGAAACGGGGACGGGAGTCAGTAAAGCGGGCCCCCGCGACTCCGTCAAGCCGTAAAGCGGCCCACGACGAACATACATCGGAAACTCGCGAAAGTTCGAGCCTCTCGACCCACGTTGTATATACGTCAAATTCTTTTGAGTCGCCACCCGTACGATATCTTAGAGTTCTAATACGCGGAAAACCTTTGCGTGCGCTCGTAGACTCGGGATCTAACCGCACTATAATCGGAGCTGAAGGGATACGGATTGTTAAGAGACTACAGTTGCCAATAGATTATAGTCGCGTCACGCACATTCGCACCGCGAACGGGCAATTAGCGCGAGCTCCCGGGGAGGTCAAGATTCCGTTTATATTAGAAGGTCGCGCACAGACAATTACTGCCTGCCTGCTGTCCGATCTAACGGTTCCATGTATTCTCGGTATGGATTTTCTTTGCAAATTCGAAGTCGTCGTGGATTTCTCTCGGTCAGATTGGTTTTTCGCGGATCAGCCTACAAAGCGTCGTAGTTTTATTTCTGAAGACAAGGCACCGCAAGCCTTTAGCGGACTTCCGGCACTCACTCCGCAACAAACGGAAAAGTTAGAGACGTTTCTTCGCGAACGGATAACCCCTACGAACAGTGAACCCGGAATCACGACGCTTACCGAACACGTGATCGACGTCGGTGATAGTAAGCCCATCAAGCAACGGTGCTACCTAGTTTCACCTAAGGTACAAGAGGCTATTCGAGAAGAAGTAGATAAAATGTTAGAGACCGGAATTATTGAACCGTCGTTTAGCGAGTGGTCTAATCCCATAGTAATGATCAAGAAACCTAACGGGAAATATCGGTTTTGTTTGGATTTTCGTAAAGTCAACGACGTGTCTAAGAAGGATGCATACCCGCTCCCTAACATGAACGGTATATTAGATAAATTACGAGCCGCGCGCTATATCTCTACACTCGATTTGAGCCAAGCGTATTTCCAAGTTCCGTTGGCCAAGGAAAGTCGCGAGATCACCGCGTTTAGCGTACCGGGAAAGGGGTTGTATCACTTCACGCGCATGCCGTATGGATTGACGGGCGCTCCGGCTACATTTCAGCGCCTCCTTGATAGACTCATAGGGCCCGAGATGGAACCGCACGCGTTTGCCTATCTCGATGACATCGTCATAGTTACGCCGACTTTTGAGGAGCACCTCGAATGGCTAGATCGCGTTTTTAAAAAAATCTCCGGAGCGGGACTTACTATCAATCCCGAGAAATGTGAATTTTGTAGATCTCAAGTAAGATACCTCGGCTTCATCGTGCAACGAGACGGTCTGACGGTGGACCCGGAGAAGACGCGTCCTATTTTAGAGTA